TTAGTTAGGTAGGGTACGGAACGTACGTTAGTTAGTTTAGTTAACTTACTACCTACTACTACGTAGTAGTAGTAACGAAGTAATATACTATAATCTCTCTCTCTCTCTCTCTCTCTCTCTCTCTCTCTCTCTCTCTCTCTCTGATATAGCAAGATTCTTGTATGGCAGGAACTGTCCATATTGGCAAGAATATTTCTTTGATAAATTTCAAGGAAACGTATAGCATCCACATCATGTGGTTGCTTGGTGCACTAGCATGGAGCACCTTTCTAACAGTTTAGATTGAATCCGGATCGATCTGATTGATTTTGTTTTTCATACCGCCTATTCTAGTTACTCTTTGCTAATGAGTTCAGGAAATGGAGCATGCATAACCTTTCCTCCCCAAAATCATTGGTTTGGAAAATGTTCAAAGTTGAAAATTTGTTTTGAGATTTCTAGCTCCTTGAACAAATAGGCTTCCATTCCTATTTTTAAAATTTTTATTTTTGCACTTTTTTCTTAGGTGGGTACAATGGGAAGGGAGACTTCAGTGTTTCTTCATTCTTATGCCCATTCATTTTGCCCAATCTACATAGCACTATATGTTTTAATATCATCAAAGCTTAAAATTCAAGAGTCCTTCAGTTGAGCATAGGAGTCACCTCATGGTGAGTCTTGATGGTTAGAATTTACTTTGGTGGGGTTTGGGTTTGTTTGGACTTTCAATGCACGAACCACCATAAAAATCGTCGATTTTTATTTTTAGTGTACAAATAATAACAGTTTCCTCTTATTAGGGTTGGACTTGTGATGGTTTGTTAGTTCAAGAAGGATAGAAACAATTAATCCTCAAACTAATGAGTATGGGTTTAGTTAGTGGTCTGATTCTTAGTTTACATTGTATACATTAGGGGCTTTGGCTTTAGGATGAAGCACAAAACCCTAATAAGCATCTCTATCATTAAGTCCAAAACAGGGTATTGGGCTTTGGAAACACGGTTGTCATCAGGATCTGTTGGACATAGATAAATCTCAACCATTCCCCAAAGAAATGCTTCTTCATTCAATAAACTTTACAACGAGGTAATAAAGGAGTTTAACCAGTATATAGATGCTGTTCTTCACTCAGAAAAATTCAACTCCCTACCCAATTAGTCCACAGAGAGAAAATCATGGTTAGAACTAAGAAACTGTGAAATTTTTTGAAATAAGATCTCATATGACTATGTGAAGGTATTCGAACCTTGGTGTAATTTGAAGTTTCTTTAACCCGAATCTTAAGAATGTAACGAGAGTATCTGAAAATCAGGTTGGTAAGCATCGGAGTGAATAATGAGCTCCTTCAATTCATCTGGATTTCATTGCCTATGAAGCAATGATCAACACTTAAGCAAGAGACGACAGAGAAAGACTTTAAAATTTCTCGAGAGTGCATCAAAAGTGAGCCACAATTATTTTTACAATAAATACGTGTTTGACAGCCACAATTATTTTCACAATAAGTACATGTTTGACAGAGAGGGTCGACTGTAAGTCCCCTTAAAACAGAAATATGAGAGTCAGGAACAGAGAAGGTTCTCACCATCTTCTCTCGTCAAATCCCTTCCCCGTTGCCATGTCAATAGATTACTCAGTCTATTGGAAGGTCTTCAATGACATTATCACCCTCGACGACAAGCCCTCGTGAATTGCAGACACCAGGAGGCTCCCTGTTTAACTGAGGGCATGGCATTCTATTATGAACACATGCTGGGCAATACAAGAGGCATTTGCTGCATATACTGCTCAGCTGCCGGAGAAATTGTAGTGACAATCTTTTTAGCCTCTGTAAAGATAACGACAATGAGGATCCATCCTTGTTGTCAATCCCTTCCAACTCATCATCTTGTTCAATCACCTCCTGCACTATGTCACATCTCAAAACTCGTCACCTCTAAGTGGAGTTGTTGAGCAGTTGCGCCATGCACTACCTTCAATCGACTGCACCCACGATAAGCATATCCTCCTTAAGTTACCAAATTTATGTGGCGGCAGGAGACTGATGCGTATCGTGCGTAGCAGAGTTCAAGGACATGAGCACCAAAGATCTCAAACTTTGAAAGGAGTCAGCAGTCGATGGATAATGAGGATAGCTTCACTACTCATCTAGAGCGGTCAAGGCATCAGCATTTCTAACTGTGCAATTGGAACTTTTGCACCCCATGAGAATTCAGGGAGAGCCTCTAATTCATTTAAGATATGTGAAATTCTCTCTGCTTCTTCCCACTCAGCTGGCAGCTCCCTCAATTAAACATGGGCTTGCACAGAGAACTTAGGGTTCTCTTTTGACTCAAGATAAGTGACCATTGGGCTAGCTCGCGCATCCTTACCTCGCCTTTTTTTTCCCTCTTTCTAGCATGCACGCAGTTTTGAGCCTTCAAATTACCTAACCTATTGATTAATCTTTCTCCGATGCAATGAATTGCTAATCGTTATTGGTTTATTGAATGATCTTCAAGGTAGGTATAAAGGAAGGACAAAATATGAAAAAAAAAACACTCATGCATACTATCATAACTAAATTTTAGAGAGTCAATTAATTTTTGCTTTAAACCAGGTTTGTAGCTGATTGATTCAGATTCAGATTTCTTATGTCCTACCATTTGCCATAGCATTTGAAACATTGACAAGAGAAGGAAAAGGGGCAAGTCCTCACACTTAATCGGATACCCCATGCCGTCCACTCCGGTTGCCCCATAGGATTGGTCTTGTATGCGATCGGAGGCCTTTCTGGGCATGTCTCGCCTCAGCAACGGAACTCGCCAATAGAAAGGGTTGGGCGCAAATTGTTGGTCACGTTACAGACTCTTGAGCTGTGGGTGGAGAGCCTTTCATCAGCCCATAGCTTAGCTCAATCTGTAGCGCGACCGACAATTTGTACACAAGACTTTCATGCCTGTCATTCTTTTGTCTATGCTCCTCTTCTATCGCATCATATCATCAACAGCCTTTAGCCAACAACTGACTCTGCTAATGGGGATCTTCCCTCCCTCTCTGCTCTATCTAATGTACTCTTTTCATCATCTCTCCGCCCCTTTAGCCTACCAGTTGAGATTGTCTATGTATTGAGTAGGTAATCTGGGGGATTAGGGGATCAATCACATAATTGGTAACAGAGGCAAATAGTAAGCTTATGAAATCCAGAAGAGAGAGAGCGAGATATGAAATCTCAGAAGGAGAAACGAAGTAAAAGGATAGGGGCTTATGAAATCCAGAAGAGGAAGAGAGGGAGAGAGAGAGATCAAAGTTCAGAAGGAGAGACAAAGTAAAATGATGTTTTGGGAAATTAAAGGTGGTGGTCTGAGAGATGAGAAGGCAAGTGGGATCGGAAGACTAGAAAATGAGAATGCAGGAAATTGAAGGCCGTAGTGCCGAGGGTAAAGAGTTAAAGAGATGCAAAGGCAAGCGTCTGTTTGGAAGGTTAGAGACTGAAAAGCTCAGTGAGAGGGTTGCGATGGTGGAGAGAGAGAGATGAAAAGATGGTGGTGCTAAAGATTGAACAGGAGATAGATGCAGAGAGAGATGGCCTGCTCTGTCTTTCCTTTCTCTTCTCCTTTTCCGATTTAAACAAAGCAAAATTGTTCCATGCCTGAGGCATAAAGTTAAATGGTAGTTTCGCAGAAAGATAAAAAAAAAAAATTTTAGTTGAAATATTTTTTATAAAATTATTAATTATAATTTTAAAATTCATTTATATTCATCTTACATATAGATACAAATTAGTGGTTCTCTTAAAGCAAATCTTATGAGTGAGGAAGTAATGCGCAATATGCTCCTGCAAGACCATGGTATACGCACTTCAATTTTATTGAGGTATGACATGTGCTATGACTTTTGGAGCTGCATTTGTCAATAAAAGTTGGCACGATGAGATGTTTGGATTCGGTGGCTCATGTTGCATATGAAAAGTTGCTACAGTGAGAGAGAGATGAGATATTTAATGGGCTAAGTAAGCGAGGGGTAAGGTCGTTTAATTTTTTAAATAATAATTTTTTATTAGGGATAAAAGCAAGAAAAAAATATTTCATATTAAAAATATTGAGAGTAGAATGTGTACAAAATTTATTTTGAGGTATTCATAATTTACCCTAAAAGAAAACACGGTTTTTTTTTTTTTAGTATTTTAAAAGGTTAGTAGTGAGAAAAGATGTTAAGAAATTTGAATCTAGAGGGATTTTAGAAAAGGGTGTAGTTGGATACGGATGGATCCGTAGCTGTAGAGGTAAGGTGCAGTTTCAAATTTTATCAAGATATATATTTTTGATGTAAAATGTTCTTACAATTACATCAAAACTTATTTTTATATCTTATAAAATTAAAAATTAAAAAATAGTTCAAATCAAGTAGATCTATAAACATATGAAAATCTTGAAAATGGACAGTATAGATAATATGTTGTAAAATACACTATTTTTTATGCTTAAAATCTTTTTATTTTTCATGGTCATACATCTCGATGTCGAGATGATCAATCAAAAGGTTTTTCAACATTAAAACTACCTTTTCTGATGGATTTTGAGGTACATCCGTAGTTCTACATTATAAGGATGCATCTTTATATAAATTTTTTTCTTTAAAAAATTTCTCTAAAAAAAAAAAAACTTATTTGTTTTTGTATAGTCCTCTTCAGTCTCTCCCTAAGAATTCTCTCTCTAAATTGAGCCATTCTCTAAACCTTTCAAAATAGTTTTTTATTCTCTTTCACGGAGACTTTCTATAGAAGAAGTATAATACAAACCCACCCAAAACTCCATGAGAAAAGGACACCTCTGATTTGGAGGTAGTGCCTTTCTAAAAAATAAAAGGATACTTATTCTTTTTCTTCAAGCCCCTCCTTTCCCTCTTCCTTTAGACACCAGCTATAATTATTCTATAATCATTCTCATAACTATTACAGATTTCTTTCTTGCTAGTGAATAAAAATTTTGTCTTCTGTATTATTCATGTTCTCCAATAAATTCCCTTTGTCGCCAGTAGATCATAATCGCCTAAAGCCATTGATTTAACTATCACCAAATCTAAATATCACTACGAGAGAAGGGAAGATAACACTTGAGCTCTTGGAATCAAGAGAGAGAACATGAATTTTTATGGGGACAAAGTTAATCTTTCTCCAAAAGAGACATGAATCAGCCCCTGCAACTCCAAAGACAACTAAAATTTCATAAAAAAATTTGAAATTTCATAAAAAAATTTGAAATTTCATAAAAAAATTTGCACATAAAGGTTTGTGCGCAAATTGCTGGTCGTGCTATAGACTCTTGCGCAAGGTGCTTCGCGACCCTCTTGATCAATTTATAGCGCGACCAACAGTTTATACACAAGACTTTCAGGCATGTCATTCGCAGAGCCTAGAACTGAGCTCATGAAATCCAGAAGAGAGAGAGAGAGCTCATGAAATCCAGAAGAGAGAGAGAGAGAGCTGAGATGGTCTCTCCACAGGTGTTCAAATAAGTTTGTAATTTCATGCGAGGCAGCCGTCTTTCTTTTTCTTTTCTTTTTTCAATTCAATTCAATGGGGAATCATGCTTTAAATAAAGAAAATTTGGTGTATGCCCGAGCTTAAAAAAAAAAGCATCCGATTCGAACAGTGGTCCCTCTCAACAAAAGTTAAAATCAGTAGTTGAAATATTTTTTTATAAAATTATTATTTATATTTTAAAATTTATTTATATTATCTTGGGTACGGATAACGGTTGTATCATAATATAATGCAATTATACTTCTAAAAAAACCATGTTTCTAATTTTTATGTTACTCAAAATTTTGCACACATGCTCTCTTCATTTCAATAATCAATCTAAAATAATAATAATTTGCTCATTATATACGGTTAAAATGAGTCACCTCCAACAATAAATCTAGACCGTCCACTGATGAAAGGGTGTAGTTCGTATAGAGCTTAAACTCTAAACAATCAAATTAGAGCCTACCTTCAAATAGTATCGAGAAATGCGATTTCAATATTGGAAATTTGTGATTAGCCTTAAAAATATATTTTCATCTTTATTTATAAAATTTAAAGCTTAAAAAATAGTGTAGATCAGCAGAACTGTAACAGCATGAAAACCTTGAAAATTGACAGTTCAAAAATGCGTTACAAAATACACTATTTCCAAATTTTAAATCCATTTTTTTCCCATGTCCATGCATGTTAATCTTGAGATGATCAATTCGAACATATTTGAGCATCAAAACAACCTCTTCCAGTGAAATTTTTGAGGTAGGTTCCAATTTGATTGTTTAGAGCTTAGGCTCTACATAAACTTTTTCCTTGATGAAATAAAAAAGATCATTCTAATGATAAATCTAATCATCTCACCAAAATGAATGCCCTATGTTAATGGGGTTAAAAAAATACTTCCTAAATTGCGTTTTAAACTTTTTCTTTTTTGTGATTGTTCATTAGAATGAAAAGACTATATATTTTAAAATTTGGATCAAACAAATGGTCTTAATATGATTTTTGAAGTTTGTTGCATTATATTACTATACAACCGTTGCATGAAATCATTACCCTAGAGATAAATACAAATGGTGCTTCCTCTAAAAAAAAGTTACAATTAATCATCCAAATGTTTTCTTTATAAGAGCATTATATATAATATTTAAAATTTATTTATTTATACGTATTTACGATCTTCAGCACAGACACTATATGTTATTTAAAAATTAGACCTGATCTAGATACCATATGTTATTTAAAAATTAGATCCAAAAGTTATTTTCAAAAAAAAATATGAGGGAACTCATTTCTGCATAGTGTCCATGTGCATTAGAAGTGGTATCCTATGAGGTGACTTTATATACGAATGGTGTGGACTTTATATTATAAAATGGAATAAGTAACATGCCACTTGGTATGGACACCTACAATGTTGTCTTGATTCCTTCTTCTTTTTTTTCTTGTTTTTTTGTTCTTTTTTACTATTACTCAAAGATATTACAAATTAACAAAATTATCAAATAGAAAAATCAAAGAAAAAGTTCTTCAGCAACAAATAAATCATATCCAACTGAGCCTTTTTTTTTTTGCTAAATCATTCGCTATTGCATTAACTTCTCGATACACATGTTGAAAAGAAACTACCAGTTGGCCAGTAATATCAATGATTTCGATCCATTAACTTCTTAAGCTTTATGGCAATCGATTTTTTTTCGTGTACCAATTGATGACATTCATAGAATCCCCTTCAACAATACAATACCAGATCCTAAATCTCATCCCCTTCAACAATACAAGACCAGTTCCTAAATGGTTCATGAATGTCTTGATTCCTCTTCATGTGTATAAAAAGACTTAGCATAATAAACCTAAAATGATAATAATAATAATAAAAATAATAATAATAATAATAATAATATTATTATTATTATTATTATTATTATTATTGAAAATGTTTTGGAAGGCTGGTTTATGGATATGAAATGGTCACAATTTATATGCCAAAGATTCTATATTTCCACGCGAGTATATTGTTAATTTACTCCCTCACATAAAACTGAAAATAAAAGTAATTTTCGATGTAACCTCTTCAACCTATAGACTAACTTCATAAAAAGAGAAATCCGAATTTAAATATATGTGTAATTGAAAAATAATAATATCTCGAGATTAAATAAAGACCATCCAAGTTTTTGAAGGGCAAGATCTAAGTGTTAAAAAACTTAAATTTGATTATTTTTCAAAAATAATCATACTCATGCGTGGTTCCCAAAAATTTTGGGTTGAAAAAGTTCTCTCGAATACGTCTTATGAGTGAGGGAGTAATTCACAATAGGCTCCTGCGGAAGCATACTATACGTGCTTCAATTTTATAGACAGCGTATAACACGTGTTATGCGTATAGCGGCTACATATGTGAATAAAACTTAGCAGGATGAGTATTTGGACTCGTGGCATGTTCGGCTTGCTCATGTCGCTGCATGAAATGGTTGCCCTTATTTGTTTTCTCTTTCTCACTTCTTCATCATTATCCCAAAAAAAAAAATCCAATTTGGATAGGGGTGGCAATGGAACGGGCCCGACACGGGACCCGACCCAGGTCCAAGAATGAGTCTAAATATTAAATCCAGCGGGTCGGTCAAGGTTCATGTCCTACACATATTTGTGGGTCTTAATTTACGAAAAATAGTTAAATATATTTAAATACACATATATTTTAAATTTCATGTCAATTTCGATAGGGTCATGTCGGGTCGAAGTCTCGTATTATATTTTTAGTCCATGTCCGGGTCTAGGTCCAGGTCTTGTGACTTCGAGTCCGGATCCAGGTCCGGAACCGTTGCCACCCCTAGTTTTGGAGATAGTGCTTCTCTCAAAAAAAACGAGATACTTCTCTCTCTTTGAGGCCCCACCTTTCCCTCTTGCTTTAGATGCCAACTATGATCATTCTCATAACTATTACATTTATAATCCCTTTATATAGAGATCATTCGGATTTCTTTGTTGTTATCCAATAAATTCTGTCTTTTGTATTGCGGTACCTTGATTTATGGAAAAATTACAAAAACAGTAAGGCGTTTCAGGGTGGCGATCCGGCAATTATTTTTGCTGAAATAAGCAGTCCGGCAATTATTTTTTTTTGCTGGAATAGGCAGTTCGGTGTTTTGAAGTTGCGGTTTTGAAGGGGCAATCCAGGGTTTTGATATGGTGGTTCGGCATTTTGAAGCAGCGATTTGCATTTTAAAATGAGCACTCCGATATTGTACAAGTGCGGTCCAGTGTTTACTTTTATTGGGATCCAAACATGATTTGTTATATGATGGAATTTTTATCAAAATAAAATTAACGTTTTGTACTGGGATATTCGCTAGTAAACATGATTTCTTTTTTTGAAAAGTTGAGTGGGTAAAAGTACATAAAAAAATCCATTTAAGAGGTTTTTGCAATTTTCCCTTGATTTATTTTTTTTCTCCAATAAGTTGGCCACCAAAAAACCGATAAGCCATTGATTTCAACTATCACCATCAGTACATGTATTATTTCAATATCATAACTACAACACTTCTTTTATAAATATAACACTATTTGTGGACCCAGACCCGACCCACTAAGTCCAAATTTTTAACACATATTCAGGTCTGGTCCAAGTCCATTGCCACCCCTATTACCAAATGTAAGTATCAGTACGAGAGGGGAAGTTTTTGGCTCTTGAAACTCAAGAGAGAACGATTTTTTTTTTATGGGGACAAAGTTGATCTTGCTCCAAAAGAGACATCAATCAGCCCATGCAACTCCAAAAGACTTAACAAAAATTTCATGGATCATATAAAAAAGGGGAGTGATTTTATGTATTGTACATACACCATAATAGAATGTATCTAAATTTTCGATCGTTCATTCTAATGATCAACAAATCTTAAAATTGGTTACTTAGTAGAGCGTGTGAATGATTTTTAAGTTTATTTTTTTGACCTTTATGGCCCGTCTCTCTTCCCCGGTTGAAACCTGCTCACATGTCTCTCTCTATCTTGCTCTCCTCTAATTTGCGTGTTGCTCACAATCCTCGGCACTCCAAAGCAATATAGGAAACATTGAACTAGAATGGTTAACCGGATATGGCCCTGAAGCGTTTCAATCGGTCTAATCGGTAAACTGACCTGTTCAACCGTTCGAATCGAGCAAGTCTTAGGTAGTAAAAAAATGTTAAAAAAATATAAAAAATATATTTAAAGAGTGACTAAATAAATCTCGAACTAAAAAGTTTTTTTTTTTTTTCTTGAAAATAATCATTTGATTATACACACATTGATTCCAAAATTTCGAATCATACAAGTCCTCGTAAGTTTCTACGTGATTTACGGTTTACTCCTGCGGGCTTGCTCTATATTTTTAATAAAGGAAATCTAACCTTTTACTATCGAGGTAAGGTGCACCTCATAAATCCAATAGAAAAGAGTGATCTAAAGTTGGAAAATATTATAATTGATCACCTTCAACCTCGATGTGTATGGATATAATGTAACATAATAATTCAAAGTTTTTAAAATAGTACATCTTATAACAAGTTATTTAGATATTAAATGAAGTGAAAAGTTTCTATACTTTCCCTACAGCATAGAAGATCTATGCTTCATCTACCATCCAGCCGTCCAATTTTGATCAAGAGAGCTACTCACCGTTTGATCTTAGATCTGACGTCTCAGAGTATTTTAATTTTTTTAATATAAATTAGATGAATATGAAATTCAGTATGTGCTTTCTTCTCATTGGGGCGCACCTATAAAAAAATATTTAAAATAATTTTTCGATAAAATATAATGATCAAAATACCTTTTAAACTTTTAAAGGTATTTTGGTCATTTTATTTTATTGGAAATATTTTTTTTATATTTTGAGCTAGTGTGAGTTTAATAGAGGATTGGACATACAAAATTTGGTGTCACAATAGTTTATAAAAATAAAAATAAAAATAAAATAGTATAGAGACGACATTGTGATTTGGGCAATCTTAGCCCTCCATTCAGATCGGAAGTTTCAATAAGGAGAAGTATATAAGTTTTATGTACTAGGGGAAACATAGAAAGCTTGTTTTTAATGCAGTTTTTATAAAACCTAAGCTTTATGAAAATAAATAAAGCCTCACATGGAATCCTAATATGGAAAGTACTTTGGGCATTCGAAATCTCCATGATGGTTAAAAAAACAGTTTTTGTCACTAATAATGAATTTTAAAGTTCAAAAAGTTAGTACAAACCTTGCCTATTCATGATATAGCAAGATCAATAGTTGAGATAATGTGTTGTAATATATATTATTTTTAGAGCTTGAAATCTTAATTTTTGTTTTACAAATATAATGATTGAGGCTGAGATTTATTTATTTTGATCGGGCTGCAGCCGCATCCAAATAATTTTTTTTATTGAGAAGGAAGGTCCTGAAGGATATTTCTATCAGTATCAAGGGTATATCCGTCACTTTGTTTTCCTTTCCGTCTGACCAGTGACTTGTAAGCGACTTGCAGTTGGACACTTCGATTGTCACCTTCCACCATCACAGATTTCACGAACTCTTAAACCCTAATTCCTGTCCATTTTAACCTCAAAATCCCAAAGTCTATTTCTCTATTGTCATTTTACCTTTTTGATACAATTCAGGAGCCATAATTTATGCATCCTTAATTTCAATCCAGAAACCCTCTTCCAAACCCCAATGCTCTTAACATTTTTTTCTTCAAAAACCCTAATTCCATGATCATCATTTGGTAAGAGCTGTGGATGTTGTTTCTCACTAGCCCTTGGTAGCTCCACACGATTCCCAGGTACCCAAGTTTTCTTTTAGTTGTTTTCTTCATTTTCTTTTTTTATGAATTCCTTGCCAAAATTTCAAAGTTCAAACCTTTTTATATTTTGAGATTCGTTAATGTTAATTTCCAAGATTTAATTCCTGTGTACTTGATTATCTTGTTGTCTTTTAATCTGATAACGATTTTGTTGAGAATTTGGTTTATTGGCCGATGATTAAAAAACAAAATGGTTTATTGGTAAGTGCAGAAAGATGATTTTCTTTCTTTTGGGGTTAAAATCCAGCAATGTCAGTGTCTGTGATGAAATTATGGTGCTTCTGTTTGTTGTTATTAATTTCTGAATTTTACTAATAATTCATTCTTGTCGCTTGGATGCTGATTAAGTCCATGAAGTTAGTGGATGAGAACCAATTTACTAGAATAAATGCATGTTTGATTGCTTTATTTTGTGGGTTACTACAGTTTTTTTATCTTATTCTGGTTACTCTTTTCTGAAGTGTTCAGTAAAGGAAGCATGTACATAACCTTGAGAGTGCTCTTCAAAATCATTTGGTTTGGGAAATTTTCAAATTTTAAAAATTTTGATCAGAGATTCTATATCCTTGAACAAATGGACACTTTCTTTTTAAAATTATTTTTTGATTTGTTTGGTATATCGCGAAAGGAACCCAAGACTTTAGTGTTTCCGCATTCATGTGCCATTCATTAAGCCCGACCAATATAGCATTATGTTTGACTATCATCGAAGTTTTAAATTTAAGGATCTGTCAGTTGAGCATAGGAGTTACCTCATGATGACTATCAATTTTCGTAATCTACTTTGGTGGGGTTTGGGTTGCTTATTGACAGTTTGGACTTGGGGGCATAAAAGCATCGTAAAAATCATTTTCTTTAATTTCTAGTGTCTAATAATAATAATGGGGTTTATACTTCATAGTGATGGTTTGTTAGTTCAAGAAGGATGGACACATAAATTCTCAAAACAATGAGAAGTTTTTAGTTTGCCGTGGCCATGTGAGTTTCTTGGTGCTCAGGGATTTTCAATGTTCAAAAACTCGGCCTAGTTGACTCAAACTCAGCCTCAACACCCTTTCAAGGCAAGTATAATGTACAGATTTGGGATATATAAAAAATATGGTGCCAACCTTACTAATAGAGGTAAGGTTGCAATGTTCTCCACTATCCATTTTAGTTGGACGATGCAGATATGACAGGTCTTTTAAGACATGGTCAAAAAGTGGCATGTCTTTTAAGATAGTAACAAATCAACACATCCAAATAAAATAGAAGTTGTAGATTACTATAACCTTACTTCGGTTGCAACTTTATACAATTTATATAAACTTTTTCAATAAAAGAATATAAATAATTATATTTTGTTATAAAAATTAACTGATGCATAATTATGC